AGTGGCATCTTACTCTGAGTTGGATTAGACCTCGCCATCCGTGGGGGGCTGCGAACTGCGAAACTGTCACCACTTTCGCGGGCTGCTGGGGGTCCAGCGGAGTGGCGTCTGACGGAGATTTAGATTAGATATCCCCATCCCTGATGGGGCTGCGAACAGCGTAATTGTCGCCACGTTCGAGGGCTGCTGAGGGGTCCAGCGGAGTGACGTTTTACGAAGACTCATATTGGACCTCGTCATCCTTGGGTTGCGAACTGCGAAACTGTCGACACATTCGATGGCTGCTGGTGGGTTCAGCGAGGTGACGTCCTACGGGGATTCATACTGAACCTTGCCATCCCTGGAGGGCTGCAAACTGTGAAGTTGTCGCCATATACGAGCGCTGTTGGCGGTCCAGCGGAGTGACGTCCTACGCAGAATCTGGACTAGATCTCGCCATCCTTGCGGGCTGCGAATTGCGAAATTGCCGCCACGTTCGATGTCTGCTGGGGGGTCCAGCGGAGTGCCGTCTCACACATAGTCAGCGTAGACCTCGTCATCCGTGGGGGGGTGGGGGGGCTGCGAACTGTGAACGTGTCGCCTCTTTCGAGGGCCGCTGGGGGTCCAACTGAGAAGCGTCTTACGGAGACTCAGTGCCACGCTTTCTCGTGGCGGCCCTGCCAGCCCCCAGCTCTTCCCGCGGCGGGCGAGGGTCCTCTGAGTCGCGCAACGGGCGGGCGCCCCATGTTGCTTTCGCAACACATGCCGGTTCTCACGATGACTTCATTCATCAGACGCGGATCATCCCATTTGGCCGCTTGATGCAAATTGTTTGATGCAAATGGGTTGGGTATGTCACACGCTAGCTTCCCAAGTCTCTCGCGCTGAGTTGTCGTTTCGAATATGCTCGGGTGGTTGCGATCTGCGAGCTGTGCAATTGTCGCCATTGTCATGGACTCCAGGGAGGCACGGCAGTTTCGCGGAATGCAGTCGGACCGAGGTATAAGATCGAGGTCGGTTCGGGGAGGGTACCCTCATGTTCTTCGTCTTTGTTGGAGGCTATTTTGCTTCCTCGGGAGGGTGCCATTGGATGTTCTGTGTGTTTTGGCTGGTGGAGGGTCTCGTGTCCTTGAGGGATGTTCTTCTGGCCTAGGTCCGACTGTACGCGTGCCCAGCCGAGGCCTCGCAGCTCCATGGGGGGGTGCGAATTGCGCAAGGCTCGCCACTTTAACTAACGGGCTACTGGGAGGCTTGGCCTTGTTCTGCATTGCATTCGAATCATTGGCATTGCATTGGGCGTTGTTCTGCATTGCTCGGCGTTGAGGAGGAGGAGGAGGAGGAGGAGGAGTAGGAGGAGTGGGCCCATCCCGGGTCAGGGGGCGGCACGTGCGTCTCTTTGGGTCGAGCCAGGGGCGCGAGGCGTTGATGGGAGCCTCCGAGAGTGATAAAGAGCATTTGGGAATCTCAGGACCGAGGATGGAGGTGCGATCGATGATTTGTCGATGGCCCCCCTACAAGTTTAGGGGAACGAAAAATTGCATAATATGAAAACTCCGAGGTCCGCGCGGATTTCTCATATCCCCTCTGGGGCCCCCTGGCGGCGTCTCCGGCGCTGCCCCTGTCGCCCTCCGCGCGCCAAGAAGGGGGTCTGGCGCGGATCCAAGAAGTCCGAGTTTTTCTGTGTTTGTCATTTTTCATTCATCTACAGTTGTTCGATGGTTTTTCTAGCGTGTCCAGTGATTGGTGTCGTCTAGCGATTCCATGGCATGTTTCTCATTGTCTCAGGGCTTTCGCAGGGACTTGGGCTGTCTGCGACAGTCGTGACGCCTCTCCGAAGCTGCGCTGCTCATCTTGCTCCCACCGCCCCCCGAGGACTCTCATGAGCTCCACGAACCGTGCTGGCACTCAGGGGTTCACACTTCTCTCCTGGGGAACTGGGCCTGTGCGTCGGTCTGGTGGCTGTGTTGCCGCCGTCGCCGCCCCGTGGCCGCCCCGTCGCCGGCCATCGTCTGGGCCCGTGCGCCGGTCCGTCGGCCATAATTGCCGCCACGTCGCCGCCACGCGCCGCCCGTCGTATGGGTTTTTGGCGGTCGAACTGCGGTCTGTGTTGCCGCCGTCGCCGCCCTGCTGCCGCCAATCAGCGCAGAGCAACAACACAGGTTGCACAACACAGATTGCACAACACCTATTGCACAGCATAGATTGCACAACATAGAACGCAAGGCATAGATCGCACCGCGCTGATCCTTTCGCATACACTGCACCATAATGTGCACAGCATGTATGACACACCATAGGTGGCATAACATAAAGTTTCGCCATACAGCTTGCACCACATACGCTGCTCAACATGCATTGCACAATAAACTGCACCTCATGACTCGCACCACATTGCACAACATAGAATACAACATATATTACACAACATGGATGGGATTACATACCTATACGACCACCCTTCGGGTGATAAGGAGGTTGTGGAGGGGCAGAGGGGGGGAACCAACATCTGACTCAATCGATCTCACTATCGATCTCACTCAACGGGACACCACGGGAGTCTTGTCGATCTCACTATCGATCTCACTATCGATCTCACTCAACGGGACACCGCGGGACACTTCCCGATCTCAGAAAGAGCGTGTTCTACCGCTGCTGGCGGAAAACCGGAGGGGGGTCACTACCGGTTCGAACCCCTCCCCCCCCCCCTCCGGAAAACCGGGGGGGGTCACTACCGGTTCGAACCCCTCCCCCCCTCCCCCCGCCGGTTCATCATGAAAAGGGGGGGGGGTCACTACCGGTTCGAACCCCCCCTCTCCCCCCCCCCCCTCGAGCTCGAAAACCGGGGGGGGTCACTACCGGTTCGAACCCCCCCCCTCGAAAACCGAGGGGGGGTGCGGACAGTGGTGGGGACGGTGGTGGTGGGGACAGTGGTGAGGGGACAGCGGGACAGTGGTGGGGACAGTGGGACAGTGGTGGGGACGGTAGTGGTGGGGACAATGGTGAGGACAATGGTGGGAACAGTGGGGACAGTGGGACAGTGGTGGGGACGGTGGTGGTGGGGACAGTGGTGTGGGGACAGTGGGAATGTGGTGGAAACAGTAGGACAGTGGAGGGTACAGTGGTGGTGGGGACAGTGGTGAAGGCGGTGGCGAGGACGGCGGTGGGACAATGGGACAGAGGTACAGTGGGGACAGTGGTAGGGACAGTGGGGACAGTGGTGGGAACAGTGGGACAGCTCAGTGGTTCGAACCGGTAGTGACCCCCCCCTCCGGTTTTCGAGGGGGGGGGGGGTTCGAACCGGTAGTGACCCCCCCCGGTTTTCGAGTTCGAGGGGGGGGGGGGTTAGGGGAGGGGGGGGGTTTTGCCGGGGGAAGGGGGGGGGGGGGAAGGGGTTCCAGCAGGGGGGGGGGGGGGGATTTTCGGAGGGGGGGGGGGGACCCCCGGGTTCCGGAGGAAAAGGGCGGCAATTTTCCACAGTAAAGCGGCGGTGGATCACGCTCTCTCCGATCTCACTATCGGTCTCATCATCGATCTCACTATCGATCTCACTCAGCGGGACACCATAGGACACCACGGGACACCACATCGATCTCACTATCGATCTCACTCAACGGGACACCAGGGGACACTCGGGACACAACATCGATCTCACAATCGGTCTCCTTATCGATCTCACTCAGCGGGACACCTCAGTGCACCATATCCACCTCAGCATCGATCTCACTCAACGGGGCATCACGGGACACCACGGGACACTTGTCGATCTCATTGTCGATCTCACTATCGATCTCACTCAACGGGACACCACGGGCCACATCGGGGCACCACATCGATCTAAGTATCGATCTCACGATCGATCTCACTCAACGGGACACCACGGGAAACCACGGGACACCGGCGGGACACCAGCGCGACACCGCGCGGCACCGGCCGCTGGAGGAGCAACATGTGGGGGGGAGGAGAGGGGAACCAACATTTGACTCAATCGATCTCACTATCGATCTCACTCAACGGGACACCACGGGACACTTGTCGATCTCACTATCGATCTCACTCAACGGGACACCACGGGACACCGCGGGACACCTCTCGATCTCATTATCGATTTCAACATCGATCTCACTATCGATCTTTTTCAGCGGGACACCACGGGACACCTCGGGACACCACATCGATCTCACTATCGATCTCACTCAACGGGACACCACCGGACACCTCGGGACTCTTGTCGATCTCATTATCGATCTCACTATCGATCTCACTCAGGGGGGCACCACGGGACACTTCGGGGCACCATATCGATCTCACTATCGATCTCACTTAGCGGGACACCACGGGACACCTGTTGATCTCACTATCGACCTCACTATCGATCTCACTCAACGGGACCCCACGGGACAACTCGGGGCACCACATCGATCTCACTATCGATCTCACGATCGATCTCTTTCAACGGGACACCACGGGACACCGGAGGGACACAGCGCGGCACCGGCCGCCGGAGGAGCAACATTTGGTCCGGCCGCGGCCCAGCCACAGGAGGATTTCGGGACACCAGCGGGACACCGGCGGGACACCGCGCGGCCCCGGCCGCCGGAGGAGTTACATTTGGTCCGGCCGCGGCCCAGCCAGAGGAGGATTTTCACTGGCCCGCCCACGCAGCTTCGCCTCGCCCGCACGCACGCACGCACGGCACGCACGACACGAACCCGAGACCGAAATCGATTTCCTGGTAGGGGGGGTCTCCGTTTCACGTCGGACTCACCCCCCAACTTCTGACAGTGCGCAACATAGATTTTACAATGTAGATTGCGCCACCTAGATTGCACAACCGATGTCTGGCTTGAAAGACACGGTTTAGGGTCCATGCAGGCTAACCTTAATTGTTTCGGGTGTTGACGATATCGTTCGACGGCCCCGACCCCCCTCTGGAATGACTTAATTGTTGTGGGTGCTAGGGATGGTGGAGGGGGGATCGTGAAGGGGGTCTCACGTCTACATACATCAAAAGAGCGGGCGCCAGGGAACGATATTATTATACAATTTTGGCGATCCTATGATGCAAGCAGGGGTGCCATCAAAGTGGATCTTGCGCTCGGCATCACCTTTATCAACATTGCTCTTACCCTCCCCATGATAACGGTCATCCGTAGCAGTTACTATTGCCCCAGGCAGTACGAAAGGAGTAGTTATCCATGGCGGGGCGTGTTCGGCGTTGTCATCATCGAGCAGCCATCCGCAAAGTTGTCATATTTGCAGTGGCGGTTGGTGCTATTTTCGCTGGAAGCGTGGCCTTTGTATCTGTTGTTTGCAGGGCGAGCGCTCGCGTGCGAATGCCTTCGAGGAGGCCCTCAGCAGAAGCAGGAGCGCGCTACCTCCACGGCAGTCGGATGATGAGAGGCTCGACGCCTGAGGGCAGTCTTGCAGCTGAGGATGCTGGAGGCGCGCGAAGGAACGTGGTGGTCGGTGCCCTTGCAGTGGTCGCGTTTCGGGCCGAACGAAAGGGGGGTATAGGGAAAGGAGGGGTTACGAAATCTGCTGCATGCAGCTGGTTTCTGCCCCGCCGCCGGACCCATTCCTCGATAAATGGGCGCCTCCCGGCGGCGGGAGGCGCCAGGAAAATCAGCTACGTAAGCTGATTCTCAAACCCCCCTTTGCTATCCCCCCCTTTCGCCGGCCCGAGCGTTTGGACTCTTCTGCAAGACTCGTCTCATAGACGGAGGCATGGACGTATTCTCTCCACCAGCGGGCTCGTTGAGGGGACGTACAGTTGTCATCACAGGGGGCAACACCGGTTTAGGATTCGAGTCAGCCGTGCGGCTGGCAAGGGCAGGGGCGACCGTTGTGATCACAGCAAGGACAGCAGAGAAGGGTGTGAAGGCCGTGGAGCAGATCAAACTGGCATCTGGCAGCAGCGATGTGCACCAGGTACAGCTAGATTTGGCAGACTTGGCTAACATTAAATCCTTCCCTGGGAGATATGAAGCTCTGCCAGTCGGTACGAAGATTGACGTCTTGATGAACAATGCTGGTGTCATGGCGATACCGCAGCGCCAGGAGACAAAAAATGGTTTTGAGCAGCAGTTTGGCATCAACCACTTGGGCCATTTCGCCTTGGTGTCAAGCGTCCTGCCCTTGCTGAAGAAAAGCGAATACGCAAGGGTAATCAACGTCTCAAGCACAGCATCTCTTCCGGCAACCCGGGAACTCATGGAAGGTGACATCATGGCACCAGAGAACTACACGCAATGGGGAGCGTACGTGCAGTCGAAATTTGCAAATGTGATATTTGCCAAGGAGTTGGACCGAAGATTCAAGGCTGCAGGAGTGAATGCCACCGCTGTATCTCTCCATCCAGGAGCAGTGGACACCGACCTTGGCCGATGGATGGTCGGTAACAGTGACGATCCACGGATCACGAAAAGCATTCAGGAGAGCAACCCTGTGCTGAAAGCTCTGACATCGGTTACTCGTCCAGTTGACCTCGGCGCAAATACTCAAGTCTACCTTGCTGCTGGTGCAGATGGAGGTTACGACAAAAGCGGGGGCTTGTACTTCGATAACATGGCACCCGCTGAAGGAAATAGCCTGGCAAACGATGAGGCTCTTGCCCAAAAGATCTGGTTGGACTCTGAGAGGTTGACTGGTGTGAAGATAGACTTGTGATACGATTCAACCCGGCAGTATCTGCAATTGAGGAAAATCACCATCATCATATCAAATTGATGAGTTGATCGCCTGCGTTGGAACACGGCATTCGCCTCGGTTGGCTTTCATGTTCCTGTTTAGCATTGGTAGATTATTGCATTTCACGCGCCTTAAGGGCTCTTCCTGTCTTGCTTCAGCAGGTTCGTCACCACTACAGGCGTCATGGTGCCATGGGACGGTCGTACTCCCGTGTCCTTCCCGTGAGTTTCGCGTGCATTTCCCGTGCGTGCACGGTCGCTTCCAGGGCACCTCGCGCGCATCGCGTGGTAAGCGTTGACTCCAAGCCGTCACGCTGGCGGCCAGCAGCCGCTGTAAGCGACCGACTTGGCCCCCGTCAGCGGCACCCATCGACGATGTTCGCCGTTCCTCCTCCCAGCAGGAGACGTGGGAGGAGAAATGTGGTAGGAGGAAGGGGAGGAGGAGGAGGAGGAGGAGGAGGAGGAGGAGGAGGAGGAGGAGGAGGAGGGGGAGGAGGAGGAAGAGGAGGAGGGGGAGGGGGAGGATGAGGAGGAGGAGGAGGTGGAGGAGGAGGAGGAGGAGGAGGAGAAGGGTAGCGAATGTTGCAGGGGTTGTCCGTCGTCGTCGTCTCCTCGTCCTCGGGCCTTCGTGTGGGTCCCCGCGACGTCGGCGCCGTCGCCGATTTGACCGGCAGAAACATGTCGCCGCTGAAGTTCCTTGACCTCTTGGTTGTTATCGCGGTCTTGGTCCTCCTCGTTCGCCTCCTCCCCCTCCTCCAATGCCTCCGCCATCTTCTCCGCGACCATATCGCATCCTCTTCCTCCTTCTCCTCCTCCTCCTCCTCCTGCTCCTCCTCCTCCTCCTCCTCCTCCTCCTCCGCTCTTCCTCCTCCTCTCCCGCCTGCTCCTACATTTTCCTGCCTTTCCCCCCCTGCCTCCTACTGCGGCGGTTCCGGCTCCAGACGTCTTCAACATTCAGGCCTCGAGGGTCCCAAAGCGACACCAGCTGTGGGGTTCCGATGACCGCTTCGGTGCAGTGGCACGACGTGAGCTCCCCATAGGGAGGGGCTCGGGCTCGATACTTCCCCACAACCCGCTTACAGACGAGCTTCCCGCTGGGGATTCCCTAACAAATCATGCCTCAAGAGCCCGAAAGTTATGACAATTACAAGGTTCCGCTGGTGCCAACGGTTTCATACCATTAGGCCGGGGCTCCATACTGACTCACAGACGAGGCTCCAGCTCGAGACGTCTTCAGTGCTCAGGTTCACGAGCCCATGATGACGTAAGTTACTGGGCCCCGATGGTCCCATCGGAATCATGACACAAAATGGGGGCCCCATAAGGAAAGGGTTCCCGCTCACGACTTCCTTTCAGGTCACTCCAAGGCGAGGCCGACGCCTCAAGAGTCCTATCCATACGGCAGGATCCACAACGTGACAACAGTTATAGTGGAGGCCCATGCCAAGAATCACCCTGCCTGCCTCCAGGGTGCCGTGGGCTTCTTGGGTTTCGATGGTGTTTCCATGGAAAGCGTGACGTTCCCACACCAAAAGTTGATTCACGTCCTGGGGTCTCAGGGTTGGGTTTCTTGTGGAAGCTTTCTTATGGTCGGGCCTCCACTGTACTGGATTCCGAGGGCCCCTTTCCGATTCAAGACAGAAGGGGGGGGGCAGAGGAGGAGGAGGAGGAGGAGGAGGAAGAGAAGGAGGAGGAGGAGTTGGAGGAGGAGGAGGAGGAGGAGGAGGAGGAGGAGGAGGAGGAGTAAGGGGAGGAGGAGGAGGAGGAGGAGGAGGAGGAGGAGGAGGAGGAGGAGGAGTAAGGGGAGGAGGGAGGGGAGGAGGAAGGGGAGGAGGAGGAGGAGGAGGACGATTACAGGACGATTACAAACCAGACAGCAAATCCCGCCGATATGCCGCTGGCGCATCTGGGGTTATCTTAACCCTTGCGGCGCACTTCGCGCCGTGGGTGCCTGGGGGCATTGGGGGTGCCATCGGGCCACACGGCCTTACCCTTCGTTGAGGGGACCTCCCAACGCCGAATTTTATTCAAGGCCTCTTGGCCTGCAGGGGTGGGGTGCCTTTTACAAATGCCGACAATGCCCGCCCCCAGCCTGCCACCCGTGGGGGTCTTAGAGCCAAGGCACCCGCACCTCCAACAAAAGATCTGGCCATACAATATTGCTGCATTGTGCGACTCATGCACCGCCTTGTCCCCGATACTGAACCGAGGGGGAAGGCACACAGGTCTACCTTGAGACTCTACTCTATGGTACTGGGGTCCTGGACATTTGCCACTGCGAAGCCAGTCCAAAATAGAAAACTTCCCTGGGCCACTCTGGCAGTGGCTACACACCCAGGAGGAGCCGACCTTGGAAACCTGGTGCCCCGAAGGCGCTTCAAGAGCCTTCCTTACGCGCCAGGCAGCGGGCACACAGCGAACCTTACACGCGCGGCTCTTACGCTCGTAGTCGGCACAAGCAGACGCCGCATTTACTATAGCCAGCCTCCTCTGGACCAACCACGCTTTGATATCAGCACGGGCTAGATCTCTGACCTCTGGGTCGATTTCAGCTGAAACCTGCTCAACTCCTAGTTGGGCGAATTTGTCGGCAAGGTCATTGCCTCGGGAGACACAGGGGGTCTGGACCAGGGAGGTTAGCGAAACTCTATCTAGGTGCGAATTACACTTACTGAGCATCACTCGTCGACCTTGAGCTTCAGAGAAGACCCTCTTCCACCAGCCTCTGAGTTCTCCCGAGGTGTCCGAGGAACCGTGCCATCCATCATAAACGATCTGGCTGTCCGTGTAGAGCCAAATCGGCCCTTTGGTCACTTTTAAGGCCCAACAGAGGGCCGCCAACTCCGCACACGGGACCGTCTGGGCTCCGTCTAAGCCCCCGCAAGCTCCTGGCCGAGGGGTGTCGGGGTCGTCATTTTCCACACAGGCAGCGGACTGGGCAACGTAGACGCCCCAGCCCGCGCGCGCGAGGCGCGCGTCGCTGCTCGAAGCAGAGCCGCCCAGGAAGGCCAGCTTGCACTCGATGCGGTCCTCGAAGTTCACCGTGCCCTCGAACGAGACGGACGGCCTGTCCCAATCGATGTAGTACGGCAGGCAAGGCGTGCCCCACGAAGGCGGAGGCGGTACGGAGTTCCACGTGGATGGTAGTAGCCTTCTTAGCCACAGCTCCAGGTTGGTCCCGTTAGTAATGTCTCGGACTGCTTCATCACATAATTTGGCGCTCTGACGGATCCAAGGGTGATCCTGACCGCAGGTGTGAGGGCAGCTCCAGACGCGGTGGGCCATCGTCTCTTTCTGGCCTGCCGCGCACCTGGCACAGACACCATCACACTCGTAGCCTTCAGCACGGCAACGATCTTCAGCCCAAATGGTATTGCAACCAGCTTCACGATGTGACTCCGTACGTCTCATTCTCTGTAGGGTTCAGCTGGCTGTCGTGAGGTCTGGTGTACTCCAGCCTCCTCCATGGCGGTCTCTGGCCGCCTGCTTCCACAGCTCCTTGATGACGTCCGCCGTGATGGTCGCCATGAGTTGGGTGGTGTCTTCACCTCCAAGTACGTCGTCTGACTGCTGATGTGGCGGCACCTTCCGACGGTCATTGTCTTCCATTGGAGCTGGAAATTGTCCTGGCGCATAGTTTTCTACGTTGGTTCCTTCTCCTCTGTGATTATATGTGAAAGAACCCCTTCCATCCAGAAGCTGCTGGCAATCTGTGATATCCTCCATGTATTCGAAGGGGTCGTGGTCGCCATCCATGTTGGTCACAGCCTGCTGTGGTTGGCAATCTGGAGGTCGGTGGACTCTGCTACCTTGAACGTCCTGGCTACCAACTGAAGGTAACACCTCACGGCTTGCGTCCATCTTGTGCTGGTGTGGTTGCTGGGCCATCGTCCATGCATTTTCCTGCGCATCCGTCCACGTATCTGGCTCAGTTAGCTGCCATCCTAGTTCTGATAGTCCTTGGATGAGAGCTGCCATCGGCCCTGTCACCACGTTCCAACGTCCTCTTGGTCGCGCCCGCTGGAATCGCTGTACTGCTGCATGCCAACCTCCTCGTAGTTTATCATGATAGTCTGGCCACCGCTTCCAAAGCTTAATCCATTCTGAGACTTGGCGGCGGAGCCCAACCGCTTTGGGGCCCCTCTCGAAGTAATGCAACAACATCACCATGGATGTACTCCTGCCACCTGTCGTGTAACTGAGCATGTCTGCTGCTTCAGCTCTTGCACGTCGCACCGCTGTTGGAGACTGGCCTACTGCAGGGACGTCGCGCGATGACTTGGCACGGGCATTGACTAAGTTGAGCGTGGCCAGCTTCCGTCTGCGCTTGCCTGCCCCTTTGAAAACTCTCGCTCGGCGTTTTCGTGTTCTGGCCGCTTTGCGTCTCTCCGTAGCCGTCGCGGTGCGCCTCTTGCGCCCTCTCGCCATGTCGATGCCGAGGTCACGTACGTATGAGGCCCCTTTGACCGTTGCCCCACGTTGCCGTACTACTTGCGGGACTGCTGTTTCAATACTTGGGTGGGATGCCAGAATTGCCGACTTGTCAGGCATCTCCAGCTTGCTCGCAATACATCCTTTGACCAATTCGACCGCCGCAGTGGTCAATTCATGTTTGGCTTGCTTGTACGAGCCGTCGGACCTCGTCGTGACGTCGTCCACGTACTGTCTGGGAAGCGCTCGGGGCACCTGATTGTGAGCTCGTTCCAACACTTCGTAGAAGAAAGCCCTTGCACCATTATTTGCATTGTTGCACCCTGGGACGATGCTGTTCCCAGGGATTATCGGCGGAGCGAAGGCCCCTGCTGCCCTGATCGCTCGCGGAGCGAGGTAGACCAGACAATTGAGGTAAAGCTCCACAGGGGGAAAATCAAGCTTCAAGGCGCGATCAATCAAGATCGGGATGCTGATCGAATCGTAGAACTTCGTGATGTCCAAATAGATCGAGCCCCACGCTTGCGTTCCATCCCAAGCACTGCTTTCGTCAATGGCCATGCTGAAGAGAGCTGCCTGGAGGGCTGACGACTGGGCCACTGCTGCATCCCAAAAGGCTGCCTTCTTGCTGCTCCACTCTGCCATAGTTGGTTGTCGGATTTGCCCCCAAAGGCGCATTGGTAAAGGTATCAAGCCGATCGGCCTCTCGTCTCTAGCTTTCAAATTTGGATCCTTTGCGCAGTAGTTCATACCAAATGTGTGACCATTGGTGCGGCCATGAAAGGCTTTGCTCGCATCTGGTGAGCAAAACGGCCAACTCCTCTTTGGCCTGGGGTGCCAACGCCTTCAGATGCTGCACTTTCCACATGTCAGAACCTTGGCCTGAGGAATTGGGCGTGGCCCTGAGAGCTGCTTCCAGTTGGTCCAAGGTGATGGCTTCACGATTAGGAAGGTCTGCTTCAGCCAGTGCGCGCAGCTTCTGCATC